TTTTATCTAAGGACAAAAATTAAAACCAGTTTAAGAACACGAATTACGGATGCTCATTTAGAGGACCTAGAGGCTTCACGTTACAAAGCTTGATCGAAATATTCAATTACTTTCGGGCAAAAACAAATGCAAATATCCCACGAAATTAAATTTTCCATTGGATTTTAACATTAGTTTACATACTGTTGCTTTGCTGGTTTTTTATAACTTAATATTATTACTTTTCTATTGTTTTTCTTTATAATGCAATAAATTTATTGGAAAATACTTCTTCTTTATTATTTTTTTTTTGAAACTGTATTTAAGTAACTACTGTAGTTTATTAAAATATTATTAATGATTAATGTTGTAATAAGTTATTAACCTTACGTGAATATAAAAATATGTTATATTCACAAAATTCACATTTATAGGTAGATCAGCTTATGCAGCCTTCTTTATTGCTGCCTAATTTATATGTGGCCTGTCATGGTAAAAAGGTTCCCCACCTCTGCAATAGGGCATATGTAAAAGTTTTCTGTGTGTGAGGGGAACTTGGCAAGTTTACAGTTCTTTCCATGTGTAATTATGTTGAAAAGATATATTATTATACACAACTGTGATGACACCATATAAATTATCACTGTGAAACCAATGACTTGTGAGATGCTGTCTGTCATTAGTACCACACAGTATTAAGATCATAGTTTCCATGGGCACACCAAAAATTTTTATCATGTTACTCATAATACCCACAGCGATCTAAGCAAGTCTGCTGGTGGATAATTTTTTTACCACTGGATGTTTGATATCAGGTACCATTGAGCATGTTGTGCATACCATACTGTTACACAGGTATGCTTCATGTACACCAGTAGTACTTCAAAAGTAGAAAAACTGGCATCAATTATGCAAAAGGGGGCCATAAACCAGTGACTAATACAGTCAGTCACACTGTATGGAATCTTATGTTAATTAACCAGTTATTATTTCAGCTTTTACTCTATCTTCTCTTTTCCATATTCCTTCAGCTTTTACTATATCTTCTCCTTTCCATATTTCTCACCAGAATGCAAATGGATTATGGTTATTTAAGCTAAGGTTTTTGGATTTGAAGCACAGAGTATTTCTGGCATTGCATGTGAGCTATGTAGTTAGTTTCCTGCCAGCTCTAACAGTTAAATTATTTGGCTTTGTGGTTTCTTGCTGCCAACCCTTTAATTCTGACACCCCAGTGAGTTATTGAGCCTGCTTGTAGTATAGTATTTAACTTTGTAGTCTTTGACTACTGCTCAACATTTATTTGAAATTCGACTATTCTTATTTATTTATAAGTCGGGGTTATTGTAGCACAACAGAGTGCATTAATGTTCCAAGTTTTTTTTAAATAAAAAGGTTATTTTAATGTACTCAAGATTTTGTCATCGTTCTCCAACACAAAGACACTTTACGTCTAGTAGGGTTATAGGACAAATTAGTGTTACCAGATTAAGCCTAATTCTATAACATCATATTGACGGTTAGAGGCCCAACCTTATGTTGGACTACAATGAATTTTAATGCAAATGCTTTGTCAGTGTCTGCATAAAAGTTGTTTGAGCAGCTGACATAACTCTGTTATAAGATCCGATTGTCATCTTGTATTCCATTGCTAGTAGAAACACATCCAGTGCTACAGCTGTTGTTTGCCAAATTGAACAAGTGAAGGGAGTAAAAGTGGATGTAAAATAAAAAAAACTGATGGTAGAAGATTGGAATCTGGTGTAAAGGATCAAGATTTCAACTGCTACTGAGTTTGTATGTGATGTTAACTATGTGAAAGTACTGCATCCCTCTTGTCAGACAAGTTATACAGGTCAGTAGTGACAATGTAACTGCTGTCTGTGGCTTCTTTAAGTGATTCTCATTTGGTGGTCTCATCTCTCTGGATGGTATTGTGATGAGCATGGGTTATGATGAACTGCTGCTTAATCATCTACAGCTCTTCGTTTGTTTATTGTACCATGAGATAATGCTCTGCCAAATTGATTAAACACAGCATGGGAGTGGTTAAGTGAGCATAACAGTTAGTTTGAAATACTCACTTGTCCTACAAGGTCCCCAGATATGAATCTTCTCAGGCAACTTTTGGATGAGCTGCAGTGGTCTCTTTCTTCTCTGGACTCACCATTATGCTTTGTGATTGATTTATAGTGGAAACTACACTATTGCTGGGTGACAATACCACCATTTAGCTTTCAGCATCTCACCAAATCTCTTCCTATATGTAATGCTGCTTTTATCCATGTAAAAGGCAAGGCAACATTATATTGAAAGTTGTTTGTAATAATCTGTCCTTTTTGGTGTATTATTGTATGTATAAAAAAGGTTAAAAATATATAGTCAAGTTCTTTCAAACATGTTAAATAATAGCTTTGCATAGCACACTTCAAAACATATATTTACACACAATTCTACATAATATTTTTTGCATTCATGATGCATCCCCCCCCCACAGCCCATAGAGGTAGAAAGTAAGATGGAGTGGCCCGAACCGGTTTTCCCCATACACTGCTTTGAACTAGCACTGGTGATTAGCCATTAGGTAAATTATTGTAAATATTTGTAATTACGTCATAAATATACATATAAATGTATATATTTTCTTTTTCTACAATATTTCAGAGTCCTAAGTATATGAAAAGAATACATTTTTAAACAACATTTCATTCTAAATGGAATTAAATGCTATACTTTTCACAGAACAGTTTAATTTGAATAAAATATTTTCACAAGTTTTCGCCAATTACATTAGAAAAAAAAACGTTAAGGTAATTCAATTTTATTCAGTTAAGGATTATGAAAATTAAGATCAAAGTTTATTGTACTATTAATATTAAAATTATGCATTATTTCTTTTCTATTTGTAGAGCTTCTTCCTAAATACTTTCTCACATATGACATGATTTTTTAGCTTCTGAGGCATCTTTTAAATGGAAAAATCTAAGTCAATTTTTATAATTAACCGCTTGGGTACATTTGATGTCTGAGACACATCATTCACTTTTTTCCCCTAAGAGCGGATGATGTGTCTAAGACGTCAAACCAAAAATTAAACTCTTGGGTACATTTGACGTCTGAGAGACATCATTCACTTGTTTTCCCTAGGAGAAGATGATGTGTCTAAAACGTTATTTGAGGTTAGGCACAATTCTGTTCATTTCATTGTAGCTTGTATCAGTCATAATAGAAGAGGCAATTACAGTATTTCTGTGAACATTATTTGCGATACACTGCCCTATTATGTCAAAAACTAGGAATATATTTTATGATAGTGATAGCGAAAGTGACTTTGAGAAATCTAAAGAAGAATTGTTTAGTGATCCTGAAATTGACAATTACAATGAAATACAAAGCGAAGGTGATGAAGACGATATTGAACTAGAAAAATGATGACAATTGTAATCATAAATATAATTTGATCGCAGGGTTCCAAGACGTCTATCGAGCAGTGATAGTGAATCTTCTTGTGAACCAGTATCAGAGGAATGGATTTGGGAAGAAGAAAATATAGCCAATATTAAAAGTTTTTCTGAAATATCTGGAATTAATCCTTTGAGCCTGCGTAGAGTAGGTGGTAATCCTATGCCTTTAGATGTATTGAAAGAAGTCTTGAATGAAGATTTTTGGGACACTATAGTAGAAGAGACGAATAGATATACCAGACAAGGGTTTGTCTGGCATATAAGGTTGTAAAACAAAAAAAAAAATAAATAAATAAATAAATAAATAAAGGTGGTTCCCTGTAAGTTCTGATGAAATGAAAGCTTATATTGCATTATGCATCTTGATGTTGCAAATGAAGAAGCCAAAAATGCATATGCAAAAATGATATATATTGTCAATATGCACAAAGTACACCAATTTTTGCCAGAACTATGGCACGCGATAGGTTTTTTTGATATTTCAAGCTTTCTACATTTTACGGATAAAAAAGGAAAATGAAGAATAAGAAAGATTAGAAACATAGTGGATTACCTAAATAATAAATTTTGTTACCTATTTATTCCTGATAGTGAAGTAGCTATTCATGAATCGCAACCAAAAATTATATCCGTTCCACATGCAAATATTTTCTCAAATAAATCCGCACCCAAAAGGTTAATACTCTATTCGGTCCATTTCAAATTAGAGTACTTTTTATTTTAATAGTGAAATACGTTAAATAGTACTTAACTTTCTCTGAATATTTCTGAAAGGGAATAAAAAGAGGATTTTTTCAATATCATTTAAAATTTGTAACTGGGTTATTATAAAATGTAAGGGTTCTTTTAATTATACTTATCAATTTTTTTTTACCCTTAATTTCGACAATATATATCCTAAAACTCTTCTTTATTACTTCCTTAAGTACGCATCTCATAGAATCGTTATAAATTTAGATACATTTAATAATTAGATTTCTTCACAATAACTTTCACAGTAGTTTAAATAAATCCTTCATTTCAAATACATTTATAAATAATTTAATAAATATTTACATATTTTGTTAAAGACGGTCATCTCTTTAATATTATCATTATTGTTTACATTTAATTTGATGACTAAAGTCTAATTTTCATATATACTTGTTTCTAATCATGCTTAGTATGCGACGCAGAAAACATTTAGTATCTGCGACTCCAGGATTTTATATTTAGCAAAAAATATTTTATTTTGGCAAATTATTTTAAATTTCTTCTACTTTCATATAAAAACAGTAATAAAGTGAGTACATAATGCATGATAATATTTAAATTATATCAGTAAAATGTTACAGTTTTTTCCTACTAATCGTGACTTCTTTTATGCAGTGTAACAGTTGCATTTGGTATATTTTGGATATCTTAACAGAATTTGGCTTCTCTCCCACTGTACTTCATGATTCTTAATAATTCTTCTCAATCTAACATGCTCTAAATATAGACTACATTGTGTTTGTGAGTCTATGACTTTATAATTCAGATATCATAAAACTTTTAATTGATACTTTTATTTTTCAGATAGATGTATGTAATTGCATTTATGGAACTGTTGCCATCCTTAGCAAACCTGGACTATTGAAATACTTAGTAATGGTAAGTGCACATAGAAAGTATCAACCAAGTACCTGAAAACTTTGAAAATATATATTAACTACTTCATACGTTATATGCATCATTTTTGAAAAAAAAAATTATATAAAAATATTAGCAAGATCATAATTCTAATTTTTTGTGACAGTTAATTAGACATTCATATTTGAAAGTCCTTATATATTGTGTCTAATTGGGCTTTCAGTTTGCTTCACATGAAAATATCATAAATTCATGCAGTGTTTTGAAAATAAATCTTTTAGTTATAATAGTTAAACATTTTTAACTTTTAAAATTTTATTTAGCATAAAAAAATGCCTGATTCAAAGTTAAGTCCTTTGAAAAATTTGGAAACAGAAAGTTTGTTAAAGAGATTAATTTCTGAAGATGAAAACCAACAACCACCAGAAGTTTCAGATGTTCAACAAAAGTAAGTTTAATAATTTAAACATGCTTTATGTATAAGATTTTTTTTTTTTTTTCAAAATAATGGCTTGCATTAAAAAAGAAGGCCATCATATTCATCAGCTTCATATTTTAAAGGGTTTTATGAGAAAGCTAACTGGTCAGAAACCCATAATTTGAGATAAGTATGTTTTGTTTTGAACGTAAAAATCAAGGGATATACACTCTATAACAAAAAAATCAATGCACGAAGAAGGAATTGTCAGATGGAGAGAAAAATTGGAGGATAGGAAGCTTATGTATAGAATAGAAAATGGTTAAAATTTCTGAACAGTTGAATGATTAATCTCAGAGTTACATAGTTACAAAGTAACGAGCTCAATAAGGTGTTGACCCACTCTAGCCTGGATGCATACTGCCACACGGCATGGCATAGACTGGTAAAGCTCCTGGGTAATCTCCTGTAGTATTTCTTGTCAAATTTGCTCTAATTTTCAGGCTAGGTCATCAATATTCCCTGGAGATGCAGTTGCCTTCCCGTCATATTCCAGACATGCTCGCTCCATAGGAGAGAGATCTGGCTGACCAAAGAAGTGTTTGACAAGCTGTAAGACAGTTTATAGCAACAAGTGCCATATGTGGTCTGCCGTTATCTTGCTGAAAAATAAAGCCAGCTTACTTCAAAAGGAATGGTAGCAAAACAGGTCTCAAAATGCCGTTGGAAACTGACATACCGCTGTGCTCTAAGTGTGCCTCTAATGACGATCAAAGGGGTCCAGCTATCAAGGCAAATGGCACCCCAGACCATAACTCCTAGTTGAGGGCCTGTGTGGTGGACAGTAGTGAAAGCAGGATCGAAACGCTGCTCTGGGCGTCTCCAGACACGTCTTTGATGATCGTCATGACACAGTTGGAAGCGGGATTCATCGCTAAAGACTATACATCCCCAATCAGCATCATTCCAACCTGATCGAGCCAAGCACCGCTGTAATCTGGCTCAACAGTGTGTAGGCATGAGGGGCGTAACCGTCGGTACGAGTGTAGATTTCGCTCTAGCAGGCATCTGTGAATGGTCATGGGGGGACACTTGTTTGTGGGTTGCACGTCTGATGGTTGATAGTATGAATCAGGTGCCGTGACAGCTCATCTGACAATCACTGTCCTCCCAATCTGTTGTGGCGCTAGGTCGATCGCTACCATCATGACGCTGAAATCTGCCACTATCTATTTATTCTTGTCAGCATCTTCTAATTGCTGCATCACTTCAACTGATATGCCAAGCGATTCTCCGATTTGCCCAACCTGCCTCTTTCAAACTCTGACAGTTGCTCGTAATGAGCTCGAATCCAGTGTCAAGGCATTTTTTTAGTCATTGAAAGGTATCCTAAATCGCAATGCAACAGAAATTTTTAACAACAGTTCAAGAATAGCTCCTTATATACATCTGCTGGATGCACAGGAGATCGCACTATTCATTCATTGGACACCAAATTTTAATCATTTGCATATTTGGCCATAGCATTTATGCATACAAAATTTCAAAGCAATTGGATGATTCCTTCTGGGTGTGTCAATTTTTTTTTTTTTTTTTTTATTATTATTATAGAGTGTTTGAATTATTTTAATATGTTTTTAAGCATTAGGCTGCACAAAATGGGTCAAGTTTTCAGAAGGGCAAATTTGAGGGTGAGATGTTACCTTAAATTTGGAGTAATATATTATTTAAAATATTTTAGCATTGTTTTTTGGGTATCAGTTTAAAATAGAAGATGTTTTTCTATATAACGCTGGTAGTTTCTTCTGATTTCAATTTTGAGTTGGACACATGACAGCAAAGTGTATTTTATTTACTTATATTGTTTTTTGCCTCATGAATATCTACCAGTTTTCTTTAGGCAGTCCATTCGTGGCAGAAACAAATTAATCTGAAAAAGATTAATATATTTTACTTCCATATGTAGCAACATGGTTTAGTACTGAATCCTGTCCAGTTTATGCCATTTTATAGTGGCAAATGTTCTGCATGCTGTTTTGATTTTGATAATTGTCATCATGTATTTTCGTTACTTTTTCTTAATCAACCTTTTACGTTTAGTACTTATTTCAATTTTTTTAATGGATTTCACTCAAGATCCAAGGCAGTTTCTTCTGTATGAGCACACTTAGCTAAGTGAAGTGTTGGAACTGTTAAAAACATTCTTAAACTTTTTAGAAATGCTGGTACTATTAATCCCAAAAGAACTGGAAAATGTAAAGTGTAAAACTGCTGGCTGAGATGATAATTTGCTACTTAAGAAAGCCTGGTATTTCAACCTGCCTCATCATATGATATCTGCAGTGCTTATTGTAAAGATTCTAATTTAATTAAGTTAAAGCACAACCACCATACCTTAAACTCTCCTTAAAAATCTGGAAAACCATTTGGGGACACCAACAAAGATCTTTAATAAACAATGTATAACTTGACATTTTTTATTATCTATATTTATTAAAGAAAAAACAAGCAACTTATACAGAGAATCAAATATAACTTAACAAAACAATATAACAAAACCATTATAACAAATATAACAAAACAATATTTCGAAATATGTTAAAAATGTTTAACGGGGACTTGAATTAAATCATGAATAACAAAATTTCAATTGTAAAAAGAAATAAATTAAAAGCATTATTTTTCTTATATTTTGTCATATTCTAATGTTTATTTCAATTACTTTGAATTCTATTTCATAATGAAAATTTCCAATGTTCAATTTTTACAAATAGTTTTGAACTTAAATGCATAAACACAAGGGTGTCAGGGGACAATTACTCGAGCGATATCAATTTTACTGCAGAAATTGCTTTTCACTCAAAATTGAATTAGCTAAAATGCTTAATAGAAATGAGTTCTTTGGTTCTATGCATTGGTTCTTTATCCCTTCTATTCACTGAAATGTTTGGCCTAGCTTGAATTGCCGGTTTGGCATCACCTTATTGCTCGAGTAAAGGACGAAACACCTTCATATTTATTTCTTAATTATTGTTCATTGAACGGGAGTTGGTTTGTTCCCCTTGAAAAGTCAACTAATTTCCGATCAATTGCAGTGATTACTTGCATTTAATTTAATTACCGTATTTAACGGCATATAAGACGCACCCTTATTTAGAAGGCCACACACATGTAGATGTAGAAAAAGTTATGTGTATCTAGATCTTTATCCGGGCTAAAAATAGCATTCAGTATTGAAAGTTAACCTGTGTCCTTCACGTATAAGATGCAGGTAACTTTTTTGAGACCAAATGTAGGAAAAAAAGTGTATCTTATATGCCATCAAATACGGTACTTGCTTTTAATTTATTTCTTTTTACAATTGAAATTTTGTTATTCATGATTTAATTCAAGTCCCCGTTAAACATTTTTAACATATTTCGAAATTGAACTTACTAAGTATGGATTCACTCTTTTAAGATAATTCTACTAAAATTAATCTTGGGAGATAATATAATCAATATTCTTTAGTAAATAAATTATATATATTGCTACGAATTTGGTATTTAAAAAGCTAATGTTAGTTCAGTTATGAATTAAATGGTTTTATTTCCCACGCAGTGCAGCGTGTGATGAATATTAAAAGAAAGCTAAGCCTGAAAATTGAAAATACAAGAGCGCGTGCATTAAACATTTAATAAATATCTCTTTTCAATTTCGAGACAGTACTAGAAAATTCTCGCGCGCGATTTTAAAATCTTATAAAAAGAGGAAAACCTCTCAGTTCGTTGTAGTTACTTAATTTGTTGTTGTTTAGAAAACTGCTCTTGTTGACTGTAGCAAATTCGCGGATTAGCTTTCTTTAGCTGTTTTGAATTAAGTTCTATTGAACATGTGAGTTGTTAGAAGATAACTACTGATATATTGTGATACTGTACGATTATTTGAGGATATTTAATCATATTTGTTGTGATAATAATAAATTTTCTTCATTTTTCATCGAATTTGTGCATTCATTTCGTAACAAACCCGTACGCATGCAACAATATATATATACATAACAGAGTGGAAACTGAGATCAGTGATCTCAGTTTCTTTATTCTTATATGTTTGTAAATCGTGCATTTTTTGTTTTAAAAATTATTGAATTATGTTGTTCTTATGTTCCGGTTAAGGTTTTTATGCCTTTAGTAAATCTGCATGCAATATTCGTAGAATTATCAACAATTTAAAAGTTGTTGAAGTGCCAATAAGCCTTATTATTTTTGCCATGGCGGCCACGTTTGTTTACATTTGAAACTTGGCAGAAAAGTATTGTTGGCAATCTAGAGAAATTAAGCTTAGATAACAAAGATAACGTCTTCTTTTATTACTACAAATTAACTCATGCTTTATCCATTCTGGAATTTATTTGAGGAAATAAATGTTTAAGATTTACTTCGTAATTTTTAATATAGATTTTTGAGTTTTTATGTATTTTTGCCTTGTTGCGAAGTGAGAACTGAATTAATTCAAGGAGAAATACGGAATTGTCTGTGAAAAACTTTTTGTTTGTTTGTTTGTTTGCTTGCTTAATTTCTTTTACACATCGCTTTAGATTTATCATAGTATTTTAATAGACCATGTGGCAACGATTAGATGATATAAATTTTGTGCTTTCTAGGTTATAAGATGAATGAAATGTAACGCTGTTAAGTAAACCTAGCGCCAGTGTCGCTATGGTAAACATAGTGAATTTTAAAGAGTGCATTTATTCTTTTGTGGTTTATGCGCTATCGACGAAGTAGATTTAATTCATTGAATTTTAAAGAGTGCATTTATTCTTTTGTGGTTTATGCGCTATCGACAAAGTAGATTTAATTCATTCCAATAAGTTTAAATGAAATGCAAGAAAAAATGTGTATAGTTTAATATTCCATTCAAGAAAGTCATGTGGTGTACACATCAGATTTTTTTTTTTTTTTAATTTAGCAAGATCTACCATTTCCACAATTTGAGGTTTTCTTTCTTCAGAAGATCTTCTTCAAATAACTCAACAAGACACGTTCTTTCTTTTTTTTTATTTTGTCCCACTTTTGAACAGCTTTTTATTCTACAGTTCTTTGTCTCTTACAATATCAGCAATGCAAGTACAAATTTCTGCTGAAACTTCAGCCCATCAACAAGCTATTTTCTAATGCTTGCGATACAATTAATTGAAGAAGCAGTTCTTCTGCATTTAATATTTTCTTCTTCAGAGCCATACTAATCCTTGTGGACTCATCTGCTGCCGTATCTATCTCGATTATAACAGCGTGAGTCTTATTCACCATTTCATTATTTTCAATGACAGACACTGAGCCTTATTCACCATTTCATTATTTCCAATGACAGACTCCGAGCCTTATTCACCATTTCATTATTTTCAATGACAAATTCTGTCTGTACTTCTTTGAACAACCTTTCTGTCATTTTTGCAGTGAGGAAACAGAGCCACCAGATAATGGCAAGGTTCCAAACTCCTAGGAGGTATGTGTTGAAAATATAAACTTCAAAATACCACAATTCTATCTAACCAATAAATTTTACTTTTATGTAGAATGCTTTTCAAATATATAAACTTCCTCCTGGGAGAAGTTAATATAGTTGGAGTTGCTTCTTAAGGAAATCAAACAAGAAAAAATCCTTGATTTAGTTTTGATCTACAGAAAAACTGACTCATTCTGGAATCTGAGTGCATATTTCTCCAGTTCGACGATGACATCTCAAAGCTGACTATAAAAGCTGTGTGACCTCAAAAAGCTACTTCTGATAACCCAGATGAAGAAAATTGGTTGCTTTGTTCAACAAATTACTGGAGGAATATTGTTTTTCCTAATGAAGCTCATTTTATTATTGAGAGTTGTTTTTCTGTCCATGGCTCGGGGCCCTCGTACCTCCCTTCGCTATGATGAACTTGGAAAAGTATGTTAAAATTGTTAGGATGTGAGATGTTCCAGTGCCAACAAAATGACTTGATTTATATTTATTTATTTACTAGATCGTGTACCATGCTAATATAAAAAAAGTGCATGTTCTTTTACTATGTATTAAGGGTATGCTGAAAATAAAAGATACTATGTCATTCAATCTTTTAATATCTAGTATCATCAAAGTTGGGTTTCATCATGAGATGATGAACAGGTATGTAAAAAAATTGGTGAAATCAATGTCCCAATATCTGGAATAATTTATCAGTGTGAAAGAAGGACATCAGCTTACCTGTTAAATTTTGTAAATTTATATTTTGTCAAAAGTATGCTTTTATTTGATGTGTACAGATTAAGTTATTTAACTTTGTTAATTAAGCCATAATTCAAGCACAAAGGTTTAAGTCCCAAGTTCCAGTCCAGTACATTCAGCGTTATTGTTGGAATTGAATATTGCTGAAGGTATTTTGAAAGAAACTGCATTTTCCTATTCATGGTGAATTCTGGACCACTCTGTGGTAAGCAAACTTCTCTTGTATGGAAATTTTTGAATGTGGTTATTTGCCTGTGCTTAAATATGCAACTGCTAATTAAGGAAAATCCTATGATAGCCTTGATGCACATGAAGATAGAACTCCTTAAAAGATAGAATAAGAAATTTGCCGTTTACCTGATATTCTGAGTATAAAAAATTGTTAAGTTTCTGGGGTTTATCAGTTGCTTTCAGATTTAATGAATGGAAGGAGGGGAGGAAGAAAAACAAATAGACACATCTTTTAAAATTCATATAACTGTAAATCTAAATGAAGTGTTCTAAATATAGGAAAGAATATATTTTTGAGGTACGTGCAGTAATAATTTGAGTTACTTTTTCCCAATTTTCCTTTATTTTTAATCCAATGATAAAATTAACCTTGCATGTTTGATGTTCAAGTTTTTTTTTTTTTTTTTTTTTTTTTTGTAGGCTGTTTGAGCTCTTGGCTGTAAATCTGACAGTTCTGAAGAAATATACACCAGAAATGTATGAATCAATGTCAGGGCATGTATGTTGGCTTTTTACAGTATAAATCAAATATGTATTTAATTGCTGAGATGAAATTATTCTGCAGTTTTAAAAGTTGCATTATGAATTATATGAATTTTAATGAAATATAAAAGTCCATTTAAAAATGAACTGAAACATTCCAAGGTATTACAGTTCATTCTTCAAAATTTTGAAAAATATCTTTCTATTTCTTCATTGGTAAATGTAATCCATATCTTTTTTCCTATTCCTTACCATTTATTTTTTATGATAAACTTTAAAAAAAAATTATTAGTCTAATATCTTAAGAAACTGTACTTAACATCATTTGGGAACCAAGGCTTGTAGATATCATTTACATTTCACATATATTCTTGCGTGCATCCTATGTTCTTATTACACTGACTACCAATAAGTATTTGGACACCTATGCAAATGACGATATATGCGGTCTTAAGGTACGTCATGGACTTCACCGGTATATATTGTGTAGGAAACAGCATCGGCTTTAGTTGCATGCAAGATGCCTTGCAGTTTGGAGTTCTCTGATTTCGAGAAAGGTATAATTATCGGGTATCACAAATGTGGCCATTTCTTAAGAGACATATCTAGCGAGCTGATACCCAAAATCGACAGTGCCTATGTGATTAAGAAGTGGAAGGTGAGCGGTGATTGTCGGAATGTGCCCCTAGTCGGCAGACCAACGAAACTGGGAGATAGAGACCGACGAGTGCTGTCCAGAGAAATTCGGAAGAACCGCATCCAACCGATGGCCCTCATCCACGAGGAGTTTCAACAGGCATCCAGGAGTATTGTTTCAATGAATACCATCCATAAGGAAGTACATCTGCTTGGTTTTCATGGTCGTGCTGCTGCCCATAAGCCTTTGATCACAAAGTCCAACCGCGCTGCTCGGTTAATGTGGTGCAAAGCACATCGAAATTGACTATAGATCAGTGGAAACGGGTTCTTTGGAGTGACGAATCAAGGTTCAACATTTACCGTTCGAATGGCAGGGTCTGGGTCTGGCGTCTCCTGCCAGAATGCAATGTGCCAACAATCAAATTCGGCGGAGGTGGAATTATGGTCTGGGGGTGTTTCTCCTGGTATGGGCTGGGACCCTTGGTCCCCATTCATGGTAAGCTCAACTCCGATGCCTACTGCACTATTTTGGATGACAATCTGCTTCCTACGTTGTGGCAGTTTTACGGGTTGGACCCCTGTTACTTTTCAAGATGACAATGCCAGTTGTCATGTTTCGACGTTAACCAAGGCTTGGTATGGTGCCTATGGAGTTCATCAAATGGACTGGCCTGCCCAGAGTCCAGACCTGAACCCTATCGAGAACCTCTGGGAGGAGTTGCATCGCCGAATTCAGGGGAGCACTACCCGTGCAAAATCGGGGAAGGAACTTCTATGTCTTCTCCAAGCCGAGTGGAACAAAATACCACTAGCTGTCATACAAAGACTTGTGGAAAGTGTGCCCTGGAGGGTCCACGTTGTAATTACCTCTCGTGGAGGTTCTACCAACTATTGATTGTGAATAAAGTTAGTTTTTCTTTTCTATCACAGGTGCCCAAATACTTATTGGTAGTCAGTGTATTGCATCATGTGTTTACTGTATATATTTTATTATGTAATTCACATTTTTTTAGGCCATTGATTACAGTGAATGGCAGTTACTTTTGCATGTGAGTTTTAGTATTCCATCAGTAGACCAAGATGGGCCCTTAGGTTTTGGAACTATTTTGTCTTGTATCAACATGTGCTTGAAATCCCTAGTCAAGGTAATAAGCAAATTTGATTTTGAGTTAAAGAATTGGATTTTCTTTATTTTAATCCAAAAATAATAAGGTAATAAAAATACAAATTTGTTAGAAATTGTAACTTTTTGTATTAACTGAAATATTTCTAATAGTTAGAATACTGAAATATTCCATGTTGCATACATATGTAAGATGTTTTCTGACTTGACTCTTCTGAATGATCACACAGTATTATTACTTTTGATTTATTAATAGAATTTATATTATACATATGTACAACAAGCCAAATGCTGGGTGATCTCTTTTTTAAAAACCAACAAAACACCATCACATTTGCTTCGTACCCTCTCACATTTCTCACTTTTGCACCCTCTGAAGATTTTTATAATGCCATCTGTCAGCAAATTACACATATGTCAAAAGAATGAAATTATTAACACTTCCGAACTTGGTGAAATTTCTTAACATATGAATATGTAGTTTCAGCTACACAGAAATTTATCAGAATAGTTTGTCTCTCAACAGTATGCTGCTTAAATATTATCATTATGTAATGTGTTAAAAACTTATGAATTGTAATTTTTTAAGTACTGAAGTATTTCAAAAGTAGTTCTTATTCAAATGCAATTAGTAATAAAGCAGCAATTGTGTTTCTGCTCACATTTATTGCATAAAAATTTTCCATATGTATAATATAATGCTGTATATATGTATAATATAATAATTAGCTAGAAATGTATTTTGTAGTTTTTGTGTCATGCCATCAAGGTTAAATTATGCAAAACTGCTTTACAGTTTCTCTCTTCTGATCATTTAGGTTCTCTCTAGGAACTTCCTTTCCATCATCATGTCATTTCTAGGTAACTATCTGAACCAGCAGCCAGTTCAGGATAACTGATAATTTTTTCCTATGATTTGATGATGATGTCATCAGACATACTGTTTTGAATTCTTGTTTCTTTTTGGATGAAACATTTCTAGGTCAAGTATGCCGATAGTAAAGTGCATTCTCTACCCTTTAATAAATTTTCCTAGCAAAGTGCCAAGGCAACAGTCTCTGCTCCAATTTTGGAACTTGTATGCAAATTTATTGCATGGGTGGATTAAAATAAGATCGCGACATGGGTAAAGAAGATTCCCTTCCCCAATTGCTCCTTCAATTGATTCTGAAACCAAGTTATATTTTTTGTTGCTTCTGCTGTAACCAGTCTGGCTATTCAAGTTATGTTTTTATAATGGTCAAACTTGCCTAATTTGATTTCAATTCAGCTGAATGTGTCCTTCACACAAGTGTTCCAGATGAAGACATTTCTTGCATGGTCAGGCACTATTCAGCTCTAAAGAAAAATAATATTAGAATTATTTTTTAACACCTTTAGTATCTTATTTAAACCCTTTGGTAACGTAAGAAAGCTTTGAAATTTCGAGCAAAGAATATAAATCTTGGATCTGGAAAAGTTAAATTAGCAAATCTTGCTTTTTACTTTCAACTTTATCTTTCTGTTGAATTTGCCCCCCCCCAAAAAATCTTCTGAATTAGATTTCTTAAAACCTTTTACTCCCCCCCCCTTGAACCTTTTACTGCTTGATCATAGATATCATCAGGAAGCTCATTCCCTTCTGCTTATAGGTTTCACACTCCTTTCTTTTCTTTTTTTTTTCCCCCTCTCTAGCTATTTTCTCATTACATTTCCTTTCAACCTATTTGTTCTGATTACAAGGGAGATGAAAGTCCTATAAAAATGTGTTGATAGTATTTTTCATTTCTTCTTGCATCTTACGAGAACATCTTAATTCATGATCTACATATTTGCCATGTATGAATATATCTAATATATAACATTGTCATCATTATTCTATAGTGTAACTATAATTATTCTTCAGCCTCAGGACTACTAGCATGATGGATAAGAAAACAGATGGTTGATAGAAAAACCTCCCTCACCAGATATGGATAATCAAAGTGATGTTCCATTTTAGCAAATTAGGCAAATAAAAAAAATCGAGACTGGAACTGAAATATAAGGGTCATATTATAACTCAGCTTTATTTCTTATTCTTATATATTTTTTCTTACATATCATGCAAAAGAATTTTTTGCATTATAACCAAACTTAGTAATTTTTATTGGAATATTTTTTCATGTAAATTTCTTCTTAATACGTAGGTTGTTTTTTTTCAATCTCTAATCGCACAGTTATGATGGCCAGGTATGCGGCAGGTGGTTGGTGTGCGTAGTATGCGACTGCGCGTCTCCCCCTCCACACACTCTGTCACTGATATATTCAACACGCCATTTCCTGTAGAGTTGCAGTCACGTAAACATGGCTGTCACTATTGATTCTCCTGCCAAGTGTGAATTGCGAGTTGTTATTCATTTCTTGCAGGCAGAAGGGAACAGTGCAGCGAAAATTCATCGAAGAATGAATCGAGTGTATGGAAACAGCTTTATGAGTGATTGCGTTATTCGTGAATGGTTTCGAAAGTTTAAAGATGGCTGAACTGATGTGCATGATGAAGGGGGCAAGCACGCAAGTCTGTCGCTACAGACGACATTGTTCAACAAGTTGACCAAGTGGTTAAGCAAAATCGCAGGTTCACCATAAGTGAATTATCGATGAAATTTCCGGAAGTTTCAAGGTCTTCTCCTGTACCCTATTGTTACTGAACAGCTTGCGCTACAGAAAAGTTTGCGCTGCACACTAAGGATCCCACAGATGTTGACTGAACGACCACAAAACTCGGCTGAAATGGTTGCAGCGTTTGAGTTTATTGACCGTTCACAAAACTTTTCTCCGTCAGTATACGGAGAAGAAGTTTTTGAAATCCATTGTGACAGGTGATGAGACATGGGTTCAATATGACACGCCCAAAACGAAACAACAATCACAACTATGGATGCACACAAATTCTCCAAAGAGACCCACAAAATTCAAACGAACCTTTAACAACCGTAAGGTTATGGCAACTGTTTTTGGGACCAAAAAGGTGTGTTGCTTGTGGAGTTTATGCAGCCTGGAACAACAATTAATGCAGATTCATATTGTGAAACTTTGCGACGCTTACAGAGAGCTATTCAAAACAAACAAAGAGGCATGCTGACTTCTGGAATTGTTCTGATCCACGACATTGCCCATCCTCACAGCGCTCGTGTAACCAACGGCTCCTTCAGCAATTTCAATGGGACATTTTCGAACATCCACCATATAGTCCCGACCTAGCGCTGAGTGACTTTCATCTGTTCCCTGAACTGAAACAGTGGCTTGGCGGTAAGCGTTTCCAAAATGACGTGGAGCTGAAAGAAACCGTCACAACTCACTTCCAATCATTGGCAGGGACATTTTATGAAGAGGGTATTGCAAAGCTTGTTCACAGATATGACAAATGCCTCAATCATCAAGGTGATTATGTAGAGAAATAACCTGTATTGTATATTACTTTTGGTAATAAAATCTTTTTTGTATATTCACCCGTCTTTTCTTTGTAGCCCATCGGAAGTTGAAAAAAAAATAGCCCTCGTAAGTTTAATATAATATTGTACACTTTAAAGCAGTATTTTAGCCTTTCATTCTAATATGGTGGTAAAATTATCTTATTTTAAATTTACAGTGATTTATTTTTGGGTGTAAGGAAGGCATTTTATTCTTGGGGTTATCTCAAAAGCTGATAAATATCAGGAACTGATGGCTAAAAGTGTGACAGATAATCCACTAGATATATTTATGTATTCTCAATATTATACTTTTCCACTAGACATGCTTAAATGTGTAATATACAGTACAAAGTCTGTAATCTGGACGTCCATTATCCAGAATGATTTATAATCTGGACCTCAAAGCCACATTTTTTTTTTTTATGCTTTACGCATGCGCGTAATTCGTTTACGCATGTGCGTTTAATGTATAACGGACGGTATAACCTAGGCTAAAATTATCTTTACTGATTCTAAGGCATTTCAGTTAATGTTGCAGATTGTGCTGTTCCTTAAGCAGTAATAAATGAAGATGATATAACAGAAGTTTTTCATTGCGCCTACACTGACCCAATCATCAATCAATGAACAGCGAAATCTGTAGTATGGTTCTAGATCCAGAAAATACTGCTTCTGATAAAGAAGAAAGTGACAGAGAGGTTATTGAAAATGAAAAAATTTCGAGTGACAAGTTAGTCTGTATTCTCGACACAGCAATTACAGGACTTAAACAGTAATTTTTACTCTGCCAGGATTGGGACTTTGTAACTGAACAAGAAATTATGTCTGTTTATAGAATTAAAGAGAAAGTATTAGTACAAAAACGAAACAACTTACATTGAAAGAAATGTTTAATAAAATAAATATTAAGCTTTTTTTTTTTTTTTTTTTTTTTTGTAAATTTCGATACCTTTAATCATAATGCTTTTATTTTCATAAATTATGGTTTCATATTTTTAATTGTATAATTTCTGTAAGCCATCTTACCAGATTTAAATTGATGATCTATAATCCAGAACTGCAATCAAGTCCCGACGAGTCCATATTACGGACTTTGTACTGTACCACACTCCCATAAAAATGAAATGTACGTCTCATTTTTTACATTCTAGAATGTATGAATCTCTTTTTTTTTTTTTTTTTTTTTTTTTTTTTTTCTTGCGTCAGATTTTAAGTTAGATTTACTTAAATGTGTAACACATAACACTGGGTTTAAAATTAAAAGTACATCTATTTTTTTCATATTGTACAGTGTATAATATCTCTCTTCTTTTTTTTTTTTTTTGTTTTTTTTCTTTTAAAGAATTTCTTCTTTAAAAATTATCAAACATTTGCATATTCTCCAGAATTATGAATGAACAAAAGGAAAAATATTTTAATAATAAAATTAACTTTTTTCATTTAATTCCAATTCTTTCTAATATTTCAGAATGAAAAAGCACCATCTCCAAGAAAATGTACAGAATCACCAGCACAAATGCCTAGGTATTTAATCTTTTTGTATATTTCTTTATCTAATGTAATCAATTTATGTATACTTTATTGCAAGTAGTTGCACACCCCAAAATAAACTTTTTTTTTTTACATTTTAATGTAATATTAATCTCCTTACATTTTATTACCATATTTAATCTAATCTTTATGATAATCTTAATTGAAAATTTCTCTCTCTCTGAAATAAATGTTTGATGAACAATCATTATATTTTTTATATTGGGAGATTTTAAATTGCAGTGTAAAAGATACAGATTGTTTTCATAAGAGACAATCACAGAAGCCATGCAATATTGCCAGCCCATGAACTGCTCTTCCTAAAAGTAAACTTGAAAGCAAAAACAAAACCACTTATAAAGAAGTTCCTTCAACATCTTGCTTTGAAAAGCATAATTATTCAATAAACAAATTATGCTACTGAATAAGAAATGCAAATGAAAATTAGTGCAATATTTGTTTTGCTGCTACAATCCAATAATATATCTGTGGGATTGATGCCATTTAGTGTCTCTTAACATAATTATATATTACTAAAATTAATGTCTTGCATTCAAGAGTATTTAACAACAGCATCAACTCTCTACTGATGATACTGTTAATTTTATTTCAAATACATAAAGTTAAAATTATTCTTCTTAAAAAGAATTTCCTTTATTTTAGAGTTTTCTGTCATATTTTTCAGGCACTTGCTGAGTTATATTTTGGAAATCAGCTTAACATTATTACTTTCCCAGTCAAGCATAGCATTATCCCACCCAGATCTACCAATGAGGGATAAGCAACTTATTCGTCGAGAACTTGCTGCTGAGCTGAACTCTATTAATATAACTATTAACCGATACTTACGCAGAGGACCACTGTCCCCAGCTGGAATACCAGTTTCTGCCAGTGTTGCTGCTGCTAAATCTCCATCAAAAGAATTTCCATTCATGAAGCTTATAAGCAATTTAGTTGATAAACTTTTTAAATAATATTGTTTAAATATTTTATATTATTTTAAATAAATAAAAATATTTTTAAATATATATGCAGTTTATTTCATTATTAGTTTGATTGCCTAGATTATACATACAATTCTAGAGAATATGTGAAAAAGAGGGCTACAGGCATCCCTCTCCCTTCAATAATACTCCAAGGTAGTTATTTCTGAAAGTATTTTCAAAAATAAAGTCCGTACATATCTCTAAACAATCTCAACATTCTGGATGGGAAGATTTTGTAAACATAAAATCGTAATTACTTAGAGAAAGAAACCTGTGTATAGCCTCCAAAGAGCAATAATTCCCACTAACCAAATATTAGAGTTTTAATAAGAATAAAAAAGACCCTTACATTTATATGCAGAAATCATAAATATATCCAAGAATATACTTATTGACTTAGATACTGTTTTTATTAATAAGTAAAATTAAAGATTCTTTGCTAAAATTTACACAGAAACTACCCTAAAATAATTGTTTGAAGAGTAATGGGTTCCGGGTTGAGTAAGACAAATACATTATTTAGTTTGGAGGTGGCCACATGAAAATATTATCTATGCATATCTGTCTGAAGTTTGCAGGAAAATGTATTAAATTTTTTGCATTTAACTTGTTAAAACTTAATGAATATTTCACTGTTTAGACTTTCTATTCCATGTGGAATGGTGTAAAAAAAAAAAAAAAATTGATTTTGTGCCTCTTTTTGGAACTTTCTTATCATAGTGCTAAAACAGTTTGCGTAAAATTCTTGATCTTATTTTGAGAAACATTGTTAATATGAAGTAAATATCTAGGATTAATACACTGGTTATCATTAATTAAAGAAAAACACAAAAATGACAATTACTCAAAATGTTACATGTAAGATTTAATGACATTGAAATCCTACATGTAACAGTCCATTGTAATCCTACAACATATAATAGGGTATAAAATAACATGAATAGAAATTACCAGACAATTATTGTGTTATAAAAATTAGCATGTGTATAAAATTAACAAATCAGATGTATCAGTTTGGTATAGGAAAATTACCTTCAATATGCAGTATGAGTGCCTCTAGAAGCCATACAGCGATGTGTGATGTTAATTATGTGGTCTTATCAGTTCCGTAGGAAATGTGAGCCATTACTCTTGCAAAGTAGTTACAAGCGTGGCAAGAAGGTCTGAAGAGGAAGAACGAAAGCAGCTGTACATCTTTCCAAAGAATCCCAAACATGCTCAACAGGATTCAGGTCTGGTGATCGAGCTAGCCATTCAATGTGTGGAATTGTTTGTTGCTGAAGATTATCATCCAGGAGATCATTAGAGATTATGTAGCAGGAAATCATCACTCATTGCCCAGCATAAAGGGGAACATAAGCATCAGGGATGTCACTCTGTAGGCCTGAATTAGTTATGGTTCCACATGGAAGTCTGTGCATCCACCCAAAGAGATACCACCCTCAAATACAGACACTGCCTCCTCCTTATGCATCTCTTTCACAGATGTTTGACGGGCTCCACGTTCTCTCCAAATCAAATAACGCCTACGATCAGTTTGAAGTCTAAACCTGGACTCATCTGTAATGAGAACAGCCCTTCTTTCTTCAACCGTTCAGTGGACATGTTGACCTGCCCATTTCAAATGTTCACTTTTACGATGTGACGTGAAGGCAAAAATGGCTGGTCACTTTGCATACAGACCTCCTTTAAGAATGTGTGGTTGATAGTAACACCAACCTTTCGGTGGCTGCAGCTAGGAAGAACCTGAGTTGGAGTTGTGATTCTATTCCTTCATGTCCATAACAACAAATATCTGTCATCAGTACTTGTCATAGCATTTGGCTGTCCTTCGCCAAAACTCCTGGATGCCAAACTGTGGTTAAAAATTGTTGCCAAAGTCTACGAACCAAAGAAAGGTTCTTATTTTGCCATCTGGCCATTTCCGTCTGTACTGCCTCTAGTCTCCCAATACCTATCCATTGTAGTTCTTTGGGCAATTGATGCCTGGAGGTCATTGTTACAAATTAACTATCCCAGATTTCTTATCACAGCAAAATTTGCAGGCTTGTTCTGAAACATGCAATTTTAGGCTCCTTGCGGATGACTTATTTTGATTGCAGCACACTAATTTGCATACTTCAGTTTTACTCAGCAACTCTATATTGACAACATATGCAAATTTTATATGGATGGGCTTATTTTTGAATGAATTATCCCTTGTTTTGTGATTTTTTTATTAATTTTTGGAAACCAGTGTATTTAACCCTCTGAGGAGCACATTTTTTGGTCTTACTAATGGAGAGTTGTATTTTTATTAGCTAGACTTGTATACTTACTTATTTTATTGTTTGTTTTCATAAATCTTGATTTCTTAATATAATATTTATATCATTAAAAAATCATTATTATTAAATAATCAAGAATCGTTTATGTTCATACTGTGAAAAATGGCAGCAGCTAGAACCACTGAACATTGAACATACAGTTTTCCATTTGAGTATGTGCACCTCGAAGCCCGAAATTTGAATTAAGTTTGTTTTTTATTAATTTAATATCTTATGCAAATTTTTTGGTAGTAATAACATTTTGTATTTTGTGTGCTTTAAGTGCATTTGGTGTGCATTCTTGTCCATTAAAATGTCTTTCTAAATCACAAAACCCCATACATTTAATTTCTACTGCTCACATGGTCTCTACATAACTCCGGCTACCTAGGTGTGAGCCAAAATTAGTTGAGATCCAACATTAAAATTAATCATGAGTAATGAATCCTTACACAGAATGACACTTGTGACAATTATGAATTTTAACGTGCAAAATATCACAAACAAAATTAGGGAATTACAACTCACCCTACACACTCATAATACTGAAATAGCACTCATAACAGAAACACACTCTATGCCTGAACATTCATTAAGTATCACTAATTACAGATACTACCACTGCGAAGGGATGAAACAACGGAGGTGGTGGAATGCTGATTTATGTGAAAAGGAGCTTAGGCGCATGCTTTGATACCTCGGGCAACAGCCAAGGCTTTGAAGAAGTCAGAGTCGGTTTTCAAATCTCAAGTTATGAGAGCGTGACCATCTGTGCAGTGTATAACCCTGCTTAAGAATTCAGGACCAACACCTATTCAACCTCCCTAATAATCCTCACTCCATCAAAAACAAACAACTGTGAAATTCTCTAACGTTCTTTTCAACAACCCCTATTATATTTACTCTCCTGATGAATTCAAATGCAGGCCTACAAATCGCACACAGAATTCGGACATCCTCGACATTTTCATTTCCTCCACTAACATCCCTCTTGTATTTGAAGTGAGTGATAACCTCTCTTCGGGTCATGTCCATGCTTTGGCACACACATTGGTAGTCATAAACCTGAAAAGGAATGTGTTTTTTAAATCATGGATTGGCAGCAATCTCAGAATTACACTCAACAATATCCCCCTGCATACTGCCCTCTTACAACACAGGAGGACATTGACCAAGCTGTTGAAAACCTCAGTCAGGCCATTAAGGAAGCTTTTAAAAATTCCACTACTGAAATTAAAAGCAAAAACTACCATCTCACATCTGGAACTTGATTAAAGAATGCAACAGATTGCGAAATACATACGCCTACTCACCTGACCCTGTCATCAAAGTGAACAAGCTCAATACGAAAATTAAACCATTGGTCGACGAGCACGATACAAATGTATGGAATGACAAAAACTGATGGACTTAACTCTCAGGATTGTACCTTTTTGAATTTTATTCGTAATCTGAAATCAGATCGTACCCAAAATATGCCCATAAAAGATAACACCGAGCTCAGATATTAAAATGAGGAGAAGACCAATGCATTTGCAAAATTCTTTGAGGTGCAATTTAAACGCAATGACATTACCTCTCACACAAATTTCATCACACACGTTTATAACATAGTGAAGGATAACCTACAGCTTCTAATGTTCCTACCCTCACCACCCTAGCAGAAGTTACAGCTATTATTGCATAATAGAAAAGCCCTGGCAAAGATAACACCGAGCTCAAATATTCAAATGAGGAGAAGACCAATGCATTTTCAAAATTCGAGGTACAATTTAAACGCAATGACATTCCCTCTCACACAAATTTCATCACAGACGTTTATAACATAGTGAAGGATAACCTACAGCTCCTAATATTCCTACCCTCAACCACCCTAGCAGATGTTACAGCTTTTACTTCCAAATTGCTAATAGAAAAGTCCCTGGCAAAGATAACATCTCCAAGAAAATAATTAAACACCTACCTAATAACTATATCAATAAATTTTGTGGGATCTACAATGCTTGTCTGATTTTGAGCTATTTTCTGAGGAAATGGAAGCAAGCTACGATTATTCTCATTCCTAAGCCCTGAAAGATGCTTCCAGTGTTGAAAACTACTGGCCCATTAGTCTGCTGTCATCCTTTGGAAAAATACTTGAAAGAATTACTTACAAATGCTTGGACTCGGCTCAGAATTCTGTCCCCTATCAGCAGTACGGATTTTGCAGGGGTCTCTACAACTGTACAAATGGTCAGGATAAAGGAATTCATTAGTGCGTTCATACACAAACATCTAACTGTGAGTACTATAGGGGATTCATGTTCGATGGGGTAATAAAGAGTCCTTTATTGCGTAAGTATTTATTTCAAGGATAAGTTACACACGGACGTAACACATAATTTTAAGATTTTACACAGGGCAGCTACAAACTTCTCTGGTTCTGTCGTCGTCCCAGCAAGGAGACAGAACTGGAATACTTGGGAGCTGTTGTAATAGTGTCTCTAGACTGAGACTTAATTTCCTGGAGAAGGAGACCTCTATTTGAAGCACTGTTCGAAACATCAATTTCTTTATTAGTTCGGGAATGCAAAGTAACCTTTGGCGGTCAACCTCTCTTCCTGGATGGAACAAAGGGAGAAGTCTTTGAAAGGTGTTAGTACGGAAGTATGGTCCGTACTAACGTCCGATGGTTTCTGAAGGCTTGAAATGACATAGGAAGTAGGAGATTTTTATGTCATTACTAAGTATTGACCG